ATATATATATATATATATATATATATATATATATATATATATATATATACAATGTATTCCACATTTAAATTTTTTCAAACTGAACAGCAGTTCTGGTTTGGTTTCCCTCTTATAAAATATCAAGGATATTTAAGTTTGTTTCTAAACCAACATTTTTATTTTATTTTTTATTGTCATCACACTGCCACAGGTACAAAGCAACAAAATGAACTCTCTGAATTCAACCCATCCTCTTGGGGAGCAGTCTTGCCCAGAGTGGTAGTCCTAGCGGGAGTGGGGCTTGAACTCAGAACCTCTGGATTCCTCTGGATTCCAAGCACAATGCTCTATAGAGCATTGTGCTTGGAATTTTGCGTAGTGGTTATAACCACTACGCAAAATTATGAAGAGGGTCTTTTGCTCAGGGAGCTGGAGTGGAACTTTGTGGGAGGATTCCAAGTGCAATGCCCACTAGACATTAGCATGAAGGGTCATGCCTTAGGACCCACAGCTGGGATACAAACCCAGGGTTCCTGTTTGCAGGACAGGTGTCTTTCCACTTGAGTTAGCCAGCCGCTAATTGAGGGAAAAAGTATAGCTTCAATTTTTTCCGTCCAGGCTAGATCCCTTATTGCTGTTTATACTGACAATGCTCAGAGATTTTATCACCTTGGAACTCAACTGAAAAACTGCAGGTGTAGGATGCGCGACACAAAAGACATAAAGTTATTTCCAGTTGGTCAAAAGTTGAAACTCTGCATTTAATAGAATGAAAAAAAAAATCCAAAGTTAACTTATCAGCATATGTAATCATCTTGAGAGTTTCCTGTCATTAAAAAAGCTCAAGCACAAGCTCTACTTTTTTATAATAACTTCAACAAATGCAAAAGAGGCTTTCCCAAAAATTTAATAAAAAAATAATTTTGCTGTTTAATGTATTACCCAAGAGAGTCACTCATACGCTAATGGAATAATAAAGCTGCACAGAGCTTTTTAGAATGTGATTTATCAGTTTTTTTCCCCCGTTGTTCCTTACCGCAACACAAACCATGTCAGACGTTGAACACAAACTTATCTTAGTCTTAGAATGGCTTAAATCAATACAGCAAACAGACCGCTGTCAACCCAGACTGAATAAAAGATTTCTCCAAGCAGACAGGTAATGAAGTCTGCTTTTTTCAGTCACCCATGGGCGTAGGTTTGCATAGGGACCATAGGGACATGTCCCTACCAAAATTTTGAACCGACCTAATTGTCCCTACCAATAATTGGATGTGAGCAACAATGTTTATAATTTACAGCAGTAGTTACTGTATAGCAGCAGTGGCTTCTTTTCCTCTCGCAGCTCCTCTGCCTGGTCTCTCCTGTCCCTTTCATGTAGCAGCGCATGGAACTGTGCTGCGCTGTTTAACTCCACTCTCATTGGTTGTTCTGCCTTAAGTTCCGCCTTCTCTCTCTCTGATTGGCTGTTTTCTAGTCTATTTCTATAGTCTATTGAAAATTTATTCACACTAGAATGCAGCGGTTACTACAATTAATATTAGGCTACAAAACTAGTCCCAATAAAAAAAATTAATAACATGTACACTAAAAAACAAAAACCTTTTTTTTTCTTTTATAAAACGAAATATTCTGAGTCAGCCAGGAGTTCTGAAGACTGCTGGAAAAATGGGCAAATAAAGGCTGTAAGCATCAACATTTCTGATTCTTAGCAACAGCCAATTAAGAAAGAAAATGTGAGGGTTTCCTTTTTACCGATATTTAGTTGATATTACTGTTTTCATTTTTTTGTTTTTATTTTTACAATTTTGATATAATAATTGATCTAAGTGGGTTGCTCTGTGGGGAAAGGCACATTTTACATTTATATTACTGTATGTTTTAAAGTCTCTATACTCCAGTTAATGATGAATCACTTACTAAATTAGTTGACGATTATTTAAATAATCAATTAATACGATTCATTTTTTCAGTCCCAGATAAAATACATGAAATGGGCTACACAGAGTAACTACAGCCCAGATGTTCAACTTTTATAGTGAAGTTAATATCTTAATGAATGTATTATTTTGCTTGATACAGAGAGAGAATAGTAGGTACAAATATAAGAGTGGGGTTTAACTCTGCACAATTCTATATCTTCAAAAGAAAATACTGTATTTCCCTTCTCTTAGTCGATCAAATTAAACCGTTTTCAAAGTGGAAAACAGTCCTAATTCCACATTGATCAGAGCCGCTGATACTTCAAACATTGATAAACAGCATCTAGTGAGTGTAGAGCTTATAACATTTTTATTAATGGAGCAAAATATTGCTTTTCTCTTTTAACAATGAATTCCTCTTATCAGTACGGATGCTCACATCGAGCATAAAAAAGGGCATGCATATTGCATAGCACCAATGACACCAGACCAATAGTGTCCCTACCAAAGTTCAAATCAAACCTACGCCCTTGCAGTCACCCTCATATTTCCTGAGTCTTCGTGATTGGCACAATAAACACAAAGAAACGCCTTGAAATTTCCTGGCCTGCTGTTTGGGGAACTATTTAAGCTGCAGTTCAATTGTAAGAGATAATCTGCATTCAGGAAACATCTAACCAGAAAAAAACATCACAATCAAAGGATGCTTTCACACATACCACTTTCAGACCACCTTTTCCCTGACCTGTTTTACAGGTGCTGATACAAGCCAATGAACCCTGGTCTCAATCAAACAACCTAACCAGGACTTACTGTTGGAGGGTGGTCTTGGCCTACTTTCAAAGAACTGTGGTGTAATTAGGATTTGGTGTGAATACAACCCTTGATCTGACCCAGCTACAGAAAACATACGTAATTCAACTTCAGCCAGCACACCAGTGAATATAGTACTGCCTTCTTACCCGATCCACTTTGTGTTGCTCAGGAACCCTGCAACCTGGGGGTTCTAGTACTTAGAGTTCCATTCCAGGAGGTGATTAAATAATCCAAAAAACAATCCGGAGCATTACAGGCCAATCTTGCAACAGCTAATGTCAGCATGTTTTTATTTTACAGGGAAAAAATGACTTGGCAAAATAGCCTATTTGGAAGAGTTTAAATTCAAATCTACCCAAGACGCTGCTTGTGATTAGAACCCCTTGCTACTGAACCCAAGAGTGTATGAATTAGAACTTGATTACTCGTGCAAAGGTTCACTGTTTCCTCTTCTTATAGATAATGACTGTTCCTAATCCTGAACTCCCTGAATCATAGAAGTTTCTTTCTAGATTGATTACTCATCCACTCTTGGCTTTTCTCAGGGAGGTGTGTGATTTGTTGCCTATTGAAATCTTTAGGCCTAATTCAGGAAGGAGACCAGGGGCCTCAAATAAAAGATGTGCGAGCCACCTCAAGTGACTCCTCTCGTGGCTCTGTTCTGAGCCCCTCACCCTGTTTCTAAGAAAGAGCCCAGGTATCTGCTTGTATTCGGATCTCGTTCTCTGGATCATTATCCAGATTTTCTCACCATAAGTAAGGGTAGGAGCATAGACCGACTGCTAAATTGAGAGCTTTGCCTTATGGCTCATCTTTCCCTGAAGGATTAATCCCAAAGGATAAATAAAGTTTAGTCTAAGTCTATAAGCTCTCTCTTTAACACAGTATACTGCTGTAGCCTGAGCATTATAGCAGCAGTTGCACTGATCTGTCTTTTGATTTTCCATTCCATTCTCCCCTCACTAGAGAACGGAACCACTACACACGTAACCCCTCCAATTCAGGCAGGGACTCCTACAACCTGAAGGGGATACGCCACTTGTTTCTAGTTGACTACATTGGCCTCAGACTTGGAGGAGCTGATTCTTATCCTGGTCGCTTCACACTCTACTGCATCCTGTAGATCTTGGCAGGACGGAGCCAGCAGAACAATATTATCCGCAAAAAGCAGGGTCCCTAAACCAGACCCCCCGCAGCCCTTGGCTGCACCTAGAAATCGTATCCATAAAAGTTATGAAAAGAAGCAGTGAAAGAGGGCAGCCCTGTCGGAGTCCAACAGGCACAAGGAACAGGTCAAGTGTGGACAATGCTCCTGCTCCACTTTTCCAGAACATTACTACTGTTAATAAAAATATTTAAAAACACTCATCCATTGTCAGACTCTTTAAGTGTTTTTTTTTTTTATTCAACAGGTCTAAGTAATGGGTGTGGCAGGTAAAATTAAGATCAGCTATTCAAGAAATATGGTTATTCATTTAACAGAGTTAAATTTTGATTTAACGAGATGTACTCTTTTTCACTGAATGAAATGAACTAAAAAAAACAAAAACAAATGGAAATTGCAGTATATAATCATTGGTTTTGTTGTGTGGTATGAAAAATCTTCAGTGCAGTAAACAATGAAAGCTGTATAATTACTCATGTATTGAAAACAAATATGAAAAATGATCAAGCACAAATAAAAAATGCATCGGACAAATGCTGCAAAGAAACAAGCTGCAAACAGGTGCAAATGCGCAGGAAATGTACAGTGAACAGCAACATGAGCCGCAAACACATGTAGGATGCAGACCACAATACATTGAAGACAAATGCAACAGAAAATGCTGCATTTACTAAAAATTATAGCAAAAACCTACAATCAATAAAACAAATGCAACGAAAGAATGCTGCAAAGAAAAACAAATTCCTACAATAATAGAAAGAAAATGATGCAATTGATGAAAACAGCAGCAAATTGGCAACACAAAGTGGAAGTACTCAAGACCACTAGAGAGAGTCAAACAAAGAATAAAACTATATCAGACCAGACCTTTTGTACAAACTGGTCAAGCTTTAACACAAGATCTTTTAAAAAGAAAGTTAGAGGAAGAAAGGAGAAGTTAGTTATCTTTCATTTCATTTTCAAACACATTGATGGACTTAAGTTATAGAATAATAGCATTGATATATATATATATATATATATATGTATATATATATATATATATACATATATATATATATATATATATATATATATACTTTTTTTCTGTGATTGCAACATGGATTTGTTTTGTTGATCATTGGTATTTTCCTCGACTTAAGTGAATGCTGCATTATTTTGTTTGCAGCGTTTTTCTGATGCATATGTTTATTTTTTGCCTCCGTTTTTGGAGCCCATTTTATTGTTGGCTGTGCGTTGGCACCTGTCGGCCATCATAAAAATCTGTATCATGATCCACAACTAGGAAGTGGACATGGTATCTAAAATAATACATATATATTCTCAAAGCATTCTTAATGTCGTGTTACGGATTGATACACAGTGACATTTGAAGTGTATCTTTATTTACAAAGTGATGAAATACACTGCCTCAGTCTAACATTTTAGAAGTAATGACAAAGCGGTCACACTGAGCACTCATATGCAGCTATAGACAGAATAATTTACATAGTAGAAAATATCAGTCAGTCAAAAAATAAAACAGCAGTACTTATGTTTTGAAAAAGAAATGTACAGTATTTTTAAAGAATTGAGGTAGAGAAAGCCACACACTGTTCAATGGTGATATTTGACAAGGGTTTATACTGTACAGGTCACAGCAGAGTTTAAAATGGGAGCTTAGTCAGCAGGGAAATGACCGCATCCTGACTTCAAAACAAGAATGGAAACATTGTTGACAACCAGTGAAAAACAAGAGTCTCAGGAACAGAGCAATTGTTCAAGTGAAAAGGTCAGGAGCTACTGTGGAATGAGACCGATCAAGGTAAAGTGACCAGAGTAGGAACCCCCCACCCCCCGTACAGTCTTTAGGTTCTTGACACATACAGTAATGAAGGAGTTGAAGCGTGTAGTTTTATGTTTGGCTAAACCATTAAAACAGTTTTTGAAGATGGCTCTTTTCCAAATGTAGGTTTTGGTTGATGAGGACAATGAAATGTGAGAAAAAAATTTTCACATAGATATTTTACAGAAATCCATTTGTGTGTTTAAGAGTAATGAACTCTTCCATTATAAGAACAGGAAATGTCTCTTTATGGTGGATTTTATAACACCCATGTAGAAAAGAGAATGACTCAAAGACACTGTGCCACAAAACAAAAACTCTTCCCTCTAAAACACCACTTTATTTTATGTACAGAAATCTTTTTAATTGATTTTTTGTTCTAGCTGAAAGCCCCAGGGTAATTGTTTTTGTTTACATGTCATTTCTTTTTGTTGCTGTAATATCACACCATAAATCAGGAGCTAGGATGTAATTGTGGCATGTGCACAAAAGCAGCTTCAGTATAAGTGGCCCATCAAGGAGGCACAATGCTGTTGTTTTTTTCTTTAAATAGAATGACTGAATCATCTGCAAACTGAAGTAATCCTGCTGTCTCCATGGCTTCATAGAGGGGCTTAAGAACAACCAAGAAAGAGTTTCCATCATTAGTCTGTGCCTTATCTACAGGTCTGCTGTGTGCGCAGACAATAAACACATTTTAAAAACAGAAACACCTTCTGCCACATTTTATGCTGGTTATTCTTCCAGGTTTACACCTTAAGAGCCTCGTGCACCCCCACAGCAGACAGCCGACGGTTGATATTGCGATAGCGGCAGCGGAGGAGGTCACGGTAGGTGGAGCGCAGGTCTCGGTTGAAGAAGGCGTAGATAAAGGGGTTCATCAGCGAGTTGGCATACCCCAACCAGAGCAGAGTGCGTTCCAGCCAGATGGGCACACAGCTGCACTCCACCCCACAGATAAACGGCCTGGCAGTGGTCAGGATGAAGAATGGCAGCCAGCACACAGCAAAGACACCCACGATCACCCCGAGTGTAGTGGCTGCTTTCTGCTCCCGTTTGAAGATGGAGATGTTTTTCCGCTCGCGGTTCAGCAGGCGAGACAAGGCGGCGCACTCCTCCGCCACGCCGGGTGGCTTAAGGCCCTGCATGCGGAGTGCCTCGTTAGCGACCGTTTCAAGGCGTTCGCGCCGTGACAAGTCTGTGAAGCGGTGCTTGGCTCCGCTCTTCCGAGCTGCTCTGAAAATCTTGTAATACATGAAGAGCATTACCAGCATAGGGATGTAAAAGGCTACTGCTGTAGAGTAGATGGTGTAACCAAAGTCTTGGCTAATGAGGCACACGCCAGCCGTGTGGACGTTTTTGGCCCATCCACAGAAAGGTGGCAGGGTGATGGATGCTGACACCAGCCACACTCCCAGGATCATCTTAGCCATCAGCTGACCATTCTGACGTGCTGGGTAGGTGAGAGGCCGTGTGATCCCAAGATATCTGCATTAAAGGAAGCAGAGAGACATCAAGATAATTTTAATAAATTTATTTGGGAGCATTAACACTGCTTGACTGAGTCTAAAACCATGCGTTAGACTTATCTTACCCTGCATTTCAAAAGTATTCGTAGCACTTAAACCTTTGGAATTCTAACACAATGCAACCAAATAAGTAAATGCATTTTACTGATGTGTGATACTGTGGTGTGAATATATATATTTAGTCTCCTACAGTACCTTGATACTCACAAGACACATGTGTGTATTTTAATCTCAGTATAAATCTTGCTGCTCTGCAAAGGCCTCAGGGAATTGCTACATCTGTGAGCAAACAGTATTACAGCCCAAGAAAGAAAGCAGACAGTTTAGGGATAAAGTGAGGAAGTATAAGGCAACTTTTGGCCCCCACACACAAAAAAATGTATATGGTTAGCAAGTCATTCTACACATCAGCATGAACACACAGGGATGAGGACTAAAGTCAGACTTGTCCCATGTATAGTAATTTAAAAATCAACTTTGACCTACTTTCAAAACATGCTTTTTTTTTACCTGTCTGTCTGAGCCCCACACAGAAGAGGGGATAAAATCTAGTAGTGCTGAAGTAACATTAAGCCAGGCATACACTGTGCCATATTTTTAATCGTTGCAAGCAGCTACAGATCAAATTGCATGATGAAACTGCAGGGTTTAAAAGTTCACAGCTCACGATGTCTATTCTGTGCGGCCCAAAACTCTGACGTAATCTACTTGCTCACATTGTACATCTAAGAAACTTAGGTAGAAAAACTTCACAACTCAACAACTTTAGAAAAATGGATTTAGACCTTTTTACTTTAGAAAAAAATAGCAAGTATTACAGATTAAAATAAAATAATGTTGTAACCATAGAAATCATTTAAATACTTAAAAATAGTACCTAAAATAAATGCTGATGATTTATATGGAAATATTGTATGTGACATTTTTCATTTCCTAGTTGAAGATAAGGATTATTCCTTAGATATTAAAATGTAGTTTTTTTTACAGCAAAAGTTCCATGACAGAACATTACAACTTTAAAATGAATTTAATCTTAACACTTGCAAAAATGCTTGCAGAAAATAATTGTGAATATTTGTGGAGCACACTAAACGCATAGTGACCTGGCCTGATGGGAGGAAGGTTAGGGTAATATAGAAATTAAACGTGGGACATATAGAAGAATTGAGATTTGGCCGGAAGTTTAGAGTCCAGCACAATGACCCTAATCATACTGCCAGAGCTACAGTTGAATAGAATTAGTTCAAATCATGTTCTTGTGTTTAAATGGTCCAGTTAAAGTCGAGACAGAAATCCAATAGAAATGATGTAGCAAGGCTTTTAATTTGTTACTGGCAGACGCTCAGCATTTTTCTTGGCAGAAGCGGAGCTATTTGTAGGAAAAAAAATCCCAAAACTGTATAAGCAGTATATATATATACACTATATTGCCAAAAGTATTTGCTCACCCATCCAAATTATTGGAATCAGGTGTTCCAATCACTTCCATGGCCACAGGTGTATAAATTCAAGCACCTAGGCATGCAGACTGTTTTTACAAACATTTGTGAAAGAATGGGTCGCTCTCAGGAGCTCAGTGAATTCCAGCGTGGAACTGTGATAGGATGCCACCTGTGCAACAAATCCAGTCGTGAAATTTCCTCGCTCCTAAATATTCCACAGTCAACTGTCAGCTGTATTATAAGAAAATGGAAGTGTTTGGGAACGACAGCAACTCAGCCACGAAGAGGTAGGCCACGTAAACTGACGGAGCGGGGTCAGCGGATGCTGACGCGCATAGTGCGAAGAGGTCGCCAACTTTCTGCAGAGTCAATCACTACAGACCTCCAAACTTCATGTGGCCTTCAGATTAGCTCAAGAACAGTGCGCAGAGAGCTTCATGGAATGGGTTTCCATGGTCGAGCAGCTGCATCCAAGCCATACATCACCAAGTGCAATGCAAAGCGTCGGATGCGGTGGTGTAAAGCACGCCGCCACTGGACTCTAGAGCAGTGGAGACGCGTTCTCTGGAGTGACGAATCGCGCTTCTCCATCTGGCAATCTGATGGACGGGTCTGGGTTTGGCGGTTGCCAGGAGAACGGTACTTGTCTGACTGCATTGTGCCAAGTGTAAAGTTTGGTGGAGGGGGGATTATGGTGTGAGGTTGTTTTTCAGGAGCTGGGCTTGGCCCCTTAGTTCCAGTGAAAGGAACTCTGAATGCTTCAGCATACCAAGACATTTTGGACAATTCCATGCTCCCAACTTTGTGGGAACAGTTTGGAGCTGGCCCCTTCCTCTTCCAACATGACTGTGCACCAGTGCACAAAGCAAGGTCCATAAAGACATGGATGACAGAGTCTGGTGTGGATGAACTTGACTGGCCTGCACAGAGTCCTGACCTCAACCCGATAGAACACCTTTGGGATGAATTAGAGCGGAGACTGAGAGCCAGGCCTTCTCGTCCAACATCAGTGTGCGACCTCACAAATGCGCTTCTGGAAGAATGGTCAAAAATTCCCATAAACACACTCCTAAACCTTGTGGACAGCCTTCCCAGAAGAGTTGAAGCTGTTCTAGCTGCAAAGGGTGGACCGACGTCATATTGAACCCTATGGATTAGGAACGGGATGTCACTTAAGCTCATATGTGAGTCAAGGCAGGTGAGCAAATACTTTTGGCAATATAGTGTATATATATATATATATATATATATATATATATATATATATATATATATATATATATATATATATATATATATATATATATATATATATATATATATATATATATATATATATATATATATATATATATATATATATATATATATATATATATATATATATATATATATATATATATATATATATATATATATATATATATATATATATATATATATATATATATATATATATATATTTATATATATCAAAGGGATGGAACACATTTGCACAGCTCTTAATACTGAAGAGACCACTGGACAGGTGAGGTTTTTTATTAGATGGTGCCATTAAATGCATTTCTTTAAGAGGTCATAACCGCTGTTAGAGCCTGGAGACTTAACCCTTCTTTACTGTGGCACCTGGAGCTTAGCAGCACGAAAAAGAGCTATCAATCAGATAGGCAGCACATTGGATTCAAATAGCAGCTGAGGGGTGTCAGAGGAATAAAAATAGGTGTGAAAACCTTGGATAAGTGAAGAACAGAGAAAATAGCCACTATTCTCAGAAAATGAAGAAATGTGTGTCTACTTCACACCATATTTTGGCTCAATTCAATTCATCTCGAGCACCGAATGTGTCATTGATAAAACCTTGTACATCTGAGGCTTTAAGCTGTCTCCTTGGTTTCTTTACTCGATTGTTAATCAAAAGATAAAGAGAGGATTTAGAGAACAGGAGGCAATTCTCCCTGTCGTACAGCAGTGATGCTATCAGTGTGAGAATCGAACTCAGCTCAGTCAGCTTAGGAGGGATTCATGCTCTCGTAGAGAAGCTTTCAGATGCTGACTTTCCCCTCATACACACTTGGCTCCAGTCGGCTCCAACAGAGGCTGAAACTTGTCACTCATGCAAGCCAGCGAAATCTGCAAGACAGACATTCCCACTTGGCTGTCAAGCAGCAGTCCTAACACTGCATTTTTCTAAACTTTATGGAGCATTCAGCATCCCAGCATTATGGTGATGCTTTCTAAGCTGCTAACAGTGCAAATGGCAAGGACCTTCATTGCAATGATTTAGTGTGGACAATACAGGGCTGACATGCAGTTAAGGTGAAAACATTTGGTTCTTAACACAGATGCAAGCAGCTTAGACCTCACTCACTTGAACATCTGACAAACATCAGAATTTTTTTAACCCATTATTTAGAAAAAAGCTGTGCATAGCTGTTTTCTAATCTCTTACTTCCTTTCTGGGTCACATGCATTTATAATTTGAAGGACATCTGCCTCACATGCATTTCATATCAAAATACATCAGCATTGTCATGACAACAAGTGAGATATCCATCACCCTATGAGTAAAGAAGAACTGAAGAGACCTGGACAGAAGAAAACTTGACACATTGCACTGCAGTTGCTCTTTGCATTGCTGCAGCTTGGATGTTTCCCTGGATGTTATATGAATTACAAATAGATCTTGTGTCATATACAGGCAGACTCAGATTTCAGTTTAATCTCATACCATTTATTCACACCTTTTAAAGATCCCTTGGCTCAGGTTAGCTGTGAAAAATGGATCCTATAAACGGATTCAGCTTACAGCGCCTTGAACCACGGGTATGACCTGTTTACTACACGGAATTAAAATTAAACTATGCAACAGGGAATGAAAGCAGTCAGATGGGCAATATCGAACAGATACAAGACAAACGTAGGGATTGGCTCTCATCAAGCTGAGGGGATGCTTAGATATACATAATGGATTGGCAAAAAACCCTCCGGCTGCATTATTGAATGATGAGACAGCTGTCTGCGGAGGTAACTATGTGTCTGGAGCTGCAGAGGGCAGACATCCACAACTATGACTCATTTTCTAATTCCATTTCAGAAATGTTATCAGTCTTATTAGAAAAAAATATATTTATTTATTTGCCAGCTCTTGCTTCACAAACATAATCTCCATGAGTCAGGCATAACATTATGAATGCCTACCTAATAATTGGTTACACCTTTTGTCACTTAAACATCAGGATTGGCATTGTAGTTTCTTGCAGTAAAATCCTAGCAGTAGATACTTTAATTCTTGTCAGAAGTGAGGTAGAATCTCCTAATATTGGACATATTGTTCGAGTATATCCCACAGGTGCTTTAATCAATGGATGCTAGTAAAATCTGGGAACCACGTCTCTTCCTGCTCTGCTTTTCCTGAATCATGTTTTCTGTGCTTGTGCAAATTCTCAGACATTTGGGTCATGTCAACCACAAACAAAAACTTTTTGTTATAAGAACTCCGAGTTAGCGGTTTAACAAT